CGTCCATTTAGGCCCGCTGATCGACCGAAAACCCCTCCACCACCACCGCCTCTGCCAGTACTCGAGAATTTCTCGGCAGCGCAAACGAATGTATCGCTTCCTCCAGTGAAACCCATCTCCGCTTCATCCAAGCCTCCCGGAAGTGGTAGTGGAGCAACCCCTTCACCTCCTCCTCCACCACCACCTCCTCCTCCTCCTCCCCCGCCACCACCACCAACAGCTTCCGCTGGAGCATGTGCACCAAAATCAGTGGTATGTCGTGAAATTTGTTTGAAATTTTGATTTTGCGGAAGAAGGCCTGAAATTACAGAATTTTGTTTGCTTCCTTCCGCAAAGATTTCTTGGAATTGTATGTGGGACTTTCAGGACTTCAGCAAAACGTGGCTGTACTTGCAGCGCAAATCCCTTATCCCGAATTATTGCAAAGCATTTCTACAAAGTTCACCTACTTGATTTGCTTTTTAGTTTACAGGAACTATTTTGTCCGCTTGCTCTGTCCTCTAAATTTCAAGATTTTAGACCGAAACTCAAACCTCTTCTATGTCTTAACTTTTCTTTGAAGAGAGAGGCACTTGGAGTCAATCCGATTGATAACACTTGATAACAGCAGTCACATACTGGCAGGGCCTTCTCCCGAATGTTCAGCAGAAGTAAGCTATGGAAATTCTGATTATTTGTTTATTATACGAATAAAATTTTAATTTAGTCATTCAAAACACCAACGCACGAGACTGAGTCGGAATTAAAAGATTCAGTGAAATCACTGACGGCTGGCCCACCAACAATTAGTGCTGAAGTACTGTCGTCGGTAAAGTTGAAGCCAACTACGCGTCGTGGAGTATCAATCGGTTTCGGAACGGTACCAGCAGGATTTGATTCCGATTTACGAAATGCTTTGGCCAAACGAAAAAATAAGGCAAGTAATATTTACTGTACTCTGTGATGGTAATTTCAGACCTTTTCATTGAATATCGGGCTCATGCCGCGCGAGATCACCAAAGCGAGATATCGCCAGCATTGTTTTCCAGACAGATTGTTAAGTTAGTGACCTAA